TACTTGATGAAAATGATGACGTGTTGGATTTCAAGTTAGATCCTCAAGATGAAGAAGTTAAAACATTAAGGCAATTGGTTGATGCAAAGGACGGATTAAATAATTTGCTGATTATTAATACTGAAGAAGAAGATGATGATGATAATGGTATGGGAAAATAAAAAATGTCAATTTGGTTATTTTTCCAGCAAGATTTATCATATATCATATTTAATACAGAGAACAGATCATTTAAAAGGAATAAAGACATTAATGATGAAAATAATTCACAATCCATTTCTGTCATTACTAATTCTTTTGAAGAAGATTTTGATCAATCATCAAATGGTAAATCTTATTTTTAAGAATTATATATTTTTATTGAATCAATTAATTACCTATTTTAAAATTTAAAAAATACAGTTATTGATGAGGATGAAACTACTAAACTGGTTGGAGATTCTGATGATGAAGATGACTTTGAACCATATTCAATGGATGAAAGCGATTTTGATGAAAATGAAGAAGATTATGATACTTTAGCAACAAAGCCAAAAAATACTTTGCCTCCTGTGTATGTATTTTTTTTAAAAAAAAATAGAGAATCTTTTTTTTTTTTTATATGATGCTGAATATATTTTTGTTTAATAGATATATTATAGACTTGATTAAAATGTTAAAAGCAGCTGAAGATCCTGAAAAGATTGAAATTGCTATGAATACAGCTGAAAAATTGATTAGACTAAAAACCAATTTTGGAACGGAATTAGGTATTAAAATGAATTTATTGATATATTAATAATCAAGATGCTTTTAATTAATTTAATCAATGACAATATAAAAAAATTAATTGTTTTTTAAGATACTGATATATACATTAATTGCTCAATTACTCAATTACTCAATTAATTTAAATGAGACTCACTTGAACATTGAACAATAGTAGCCAAAGTTGTTATATATTTACTTAGTAAAATAGGCTCATACATACCTTTATTGATAGTATCACTATACAATATAGTAATATTTTTTTTTAATACATAATACTTTGCATATA